AGCCCTTTAACCCCAAGCATCTGGTGACCAATGCGGTGTCCAATATCACCAACCTCATCATCTTTGGCCAGCGCTTCACCTATGACGATGGGGATTTTCAGCACATGATTGAGATCTTCAGTGAGAATGTGGAGCTGGCAGCCAGCAGTTGGGCTTTCCTGTACAACGCCTTCCCCTGGATGGAGTACCTGCCCTTTGGGAAGCACCAGAGGCTGTTCCGCAATGCCAACGAGGTCTATAAGTTCCTCCTGCAAATCATCAGGCGCTTCTCGCAGGGCAGGGTTCCCCAGTCGCCGCAACATTACATTGATGCCTACTTGGACGAAATGGAGCAAAGCACCCCTGATAAAGCCACTTCTTTCTCTCAAGACAATCTGATTTTCTCAGTTGGAGAACTGATCATCGCGGGCACAGAAACCACCACTAATTGTCTGCGCTGGGCTATGCTCTACATGGCTCTGTATCCCAGGATACAAGGTTGGTGCCCATGGAGCATGCGCTTATTGTTCATTTATGATCAATGTTTTAATGTCGTTGCGCTAATCACGTCATGTTTTTTTTTCCCTTCCATTCAGAAAAGGTCCAAATGGAGATCGATAGTGTTCTGAATGGCAGACAGCCTGCTTTTGAAGACAGGCAGAGGATGCCGTATGTGGAGGCAGTGTTGCATGAAGTCCTGCGCCTCTGCAATATCGTCCCACTGGGAATCTTCCGCGCCACGTCTCAAGACGCAGTGGTGCGTGGCTACACCATTCCCAAGGGCACCATGGTCATCACTAACTTGTACTCTGTACACTTTGATGAGAAGTACTGGAGCGACCCGTCAATCTTCTGCCCAGAGCGCTTTCTAGACTGCAATGGCAAATTCATCCGACATGAAGCGTTTCTCCCCTTCTCCATAGGTAAAAAAAAGCAATTTTTTCAAACATTTAGCATCTAAAAGCTTGTCAGGTTAATATAATCCTTATGTTCTGGTGTCCTTTAGGTAAGCGACACTGTTTGGGAGAGCAGCTGGCCAGGCTGGAGATGTTCTTGTTCTTTACTACATTGCTCCAGAGGTTTCACCTTCAGTTCTCAGAAGGCTTTATTCCGAGCCTCTCAGCGAAATTGGGCATGACCCTTCAGCCTCAGCCGTATTCCATATGTGCCATCAGGAGGCAGCAGTAAAACTTTCCAGCTTTGAGCTCTGGAACGCGTGCACTCACCTCAGGGGATCCTACCAAGAAACGTCAAAGGCAGAGCAGTTTCCAAGTCTTAAATTCCATCCCGTTTTCAACGGGTAATACTGACCTCTGATGTTGACTTGCTAAATTCTCTGAACGTGTCCTCTTTAGTTTCACAGAAACCAGCCTGAGAGTGATAAGAGTACTGTTACAGAACATGCTGTGAGGCGCACAGAATGAGCACATGTGTGTTACCGAACACGGACCTATAAGAGTTTCAAGATGAAGTGTAGCATGTATCTTTGATAACTTGAACTGAAAACGTGTACTGTGTAACAAAGCCAATGTTGTGCTTGTCAATACGAGAAGAGCTATTGTGTGAATGATTGACAGGGTTTACCTCTATGATGGTTTGGACGGCCTGTCTTTTTCAGCATTCCTTGAATTTCCCCATTTCTAGAGTGAGGAAAGCGAGAGGAGAACAGCTGCTTTTCTCAGAAAGTTTTGGAAATGCTTCAGGATTCCTGTTGGTTTAATGCCATAGATCAGTTGTGCAATAATATCAGCCCAGTCCCTAGTTCATCTCACTGGAAAGAGATTATCTAGAAACTCGAGCTGCCATATTTCTGAGGAAAAAACCATGGTGCTCTCCTGAAAAACTGCACTGCAATATACATTTTATAGAATATCTTTCTCTTTTTTTTACTTCACTTTTTAGACCAGTGTTTGTGCTTATTATATAAAATGTCTGTCTCTAAAAAAAAAAAAATAAAAAGAAATAAAAAACTTTTGTTATGGAAGTTGTTTTAATTCTGTCTGCGACCTCTCTTTCAACTTTGTTGGAATCCTCCAAAGCCAAGCTATACACCATATAAACCAAGCTGAGAGGAGAAAGTATATTAATAAAAACCTCAAGACATCCTGAGACTGACTTGGTGTAGATTTGTGAATCTGCCACATACCAAAAATGAACGCTTTTCAGCAGCAAATCTTTGCTTTGGCACGTTTTTGCTGATTGTAAACCAAGTAGTGTTGTTTTTAGCATATATCATTTTCTGCAAAATTCCCATGTTGTCACTGTAAAAACATTCCAAAGGCCAAAAAGTCTTTCCAGGCGGCACTTTGACAAACTGCACAGGATGGGGAAGTCAATTAAAAAGCGAGAGTGATGGGTAGGGGCACTGTTGCTTTGGGTAAGCTGTCACCGTGAGGCTGTCATCTGAAGCGATAAAACTGCCCTTTCATACGACCCACACTTGGGGACTCATCATGCGCTGACTGTCATCTTACAGGCAGTTCCTCCCAAGAGAACACTTGGGCTTTCATCTGAACATGAAGGAAACAGGCAGCGTCATGCAACTAGATGATGCTCGGTAGCACAGCCAGAAAAAGGCAACAGCATGTTGCGTCATGGAGATGATAGTGAAGGTTGAAGACATTGTGCTTCCTTGTGTCTGGACTTCTGATAATAGGTGAAAGGTCACGTTCCATGCATTTATCCATGGTGGCGTTGTGATTAAATCACTGCACATGCCAAGTTTGAAATTATTATAACAAATTTTTGCAGAAGACCTCCGAAAAATTTGATCCCCTTGGGAAAGCTTGCTCAAATATCAAGAAAAAAAAAGCTTTCGTTTAGTTAAAATTAGACTTCTACCTTAGTAACAATGAAAAATAATTTGTTAATTTCAATATTTACTTGTGCATTAATAAACTACTTATAAAATTTATTCATTCATTCATTTTCTTGTCGGCTTAATCCCTTTATTAATCCGGGATCGCCACAGCGAAATAAACCACCAACTTATCCAGCAAGTTTTTACGCAGCTGATACCCTTACAGCCGCAACCCGTCTCTGGGGAAGCCTTATAAAATATTAATGATATTTATTTACTAACCAAATGCCAACAGATGAATAAATACTGTAATTTAATGCACTACTCCTTGTCAATCCATTAACTATTAATCACTAAGAAACAGTTCTTACAAAGTTGATACAAAAGAATAAGTGCATTCAATAAAGCTTTTGTATTGTCATTGAACTACAGCATATTTCAAAATAATAATTTTGTTTGAATAATTTCTAGTTGAAGCTGAAAATTCTGTTTTACACTGCGATAAGAAATGTTTAAGCACCATATCGGTTTGTTTTTGATTATGTGACCCTAAAGACTTCAACTGTCAAAATCTAATATTAACGTGACTGCTTACTTGATCAAAGATACGTGTGGATATGCAGATGTTGTTGTCTTACTGTTTAAAATGGCCTTTTAACAATATCATGAGTGTCTACATCAACTTGAAAGCCCCAAAATACATATTTCTTTTAGTTTTTACTCTTTTTTGCCTTACCCCTTTAGCAGTTTGGCCCAAGTTTTAAAAGCCCTTAAAGGAATAGGTTATCCAAAAATGAAAATTTGCAGTTATTTTACTCACCCTCTGGCCATCCAGTTTGTACACCACCTGACAAAAGTCTTGTCATCACTCACAGTTGTACGAGCAGCAAATAATTTTGGAAAAGTGGCAGAAGGTAGATTTGTCTAATGAATCATCTGATACTACATCACAATCATCACAAATACTGCACCCAATACTGGACCCAAGATTCTCGCAGAAGTTTGGTGAAGAAAACAAATCATCGTTTGGGGTTACATTCAGTATGGGAGTCATTGCAGAGATGTATGGATGAAGTCTTCCAAGCTCAAGGGAGTCATACACAATATTAATGCACCATGACTTTATATCCTATACTGTACATTATTTCTGTTAAGTGACAAGACTTTTCTGTAAGCAAAGTCAGATCTTACTGTTCTAATTTAATAATTAAAAATCAAAGCACGATCATATTTTATTTCGGTAAAACAAGCATAATCTAGAGGCCTTCGCCTTTCATATATGCCACTTCTGATACTAAATGATCGACTAGAAGTCAAGTTATTATTTGTTGTTTCTAAAACTTGGATAGACAATAAGACTTTTGTCAGGCAGTGTGAGTGACTTTTTTTTTTTTAGTAAAAGATTTTTAGCTGAAACAGGTGATTCATAAAATCAAGCCAATAGCTATTAGCTCCATGAGAAGACATGTACAGGCAAAACAAAATCTATTATCTGCTAATGGTGTTGATGCAATACAATGCTCTACGTAGTTCAGCTTCTTGCACAGATTGATCACAGCTTCATTTAGATCTCTACATATCATCAGATGCTCTCTGTATATATTTTAGTAATCCCTACACTGTACAACACAAAAAGTTAGGTAACTCAAACAATTTGAGGAAACTGATTGCAACAAACCATTTAAGTTCAAAAAGTAATCCTAATGAGTACTGTGAACTTAATCCATTTGAGTAAATGAAGCAATTTAAGCACAGTGAAACCCAATAAATGAAGAGAACTCAAACCAACTGAGTACTGTAAAACCCAATAAGTTACGGCAACTCAAACCATTTGGGCAAACCAATTACTACAATCCATTTGAGTAAAAAAAACTAATCCATATGAGTACTGGGAGCTTACTCCATTTAAGTTGAAGTAATAAGGTATCTAATGTACTCATTACCTACAACACTGAGTTCAAAACTCTTTTCAAATGAGTAGAATTAACTTTTTAGTCAATTTTGAGTTAACTACACTCATTTCATTTGATAAATGTGACTGTTGGGTTTTGTAAGGAGCACAATTTCAGCTTAGATTCTTTTGTTTGACTGAAAAAAAAACACTATTTTGAACTTCAGCGCTAGCAACTTTGCATTTTTGAGTCATCTAACCTTTAAAACAATTAAGTGTCTGCTCTTATTTCACACATAAGAAGAAAAACAAATAACAACACAGACTCAATTGAGTTGAAAGAGTAGAACTATTGTTCAGGGATGGTGCTTTTATGACAGCTATAAATAATAATAATAACCAAAAAAAAAAAAAAGTCAAATCTCCCCCACAACCCTGAAGAGGCTGAATGGTTACATCAGACATTGCTATCTAAATGCTACATAAAAAAGTGAATGCCATCATATAAAGGTAGTGATGACAGGAAAGTCAGAGGTTACTGTGGTGTGACGAACCCCAAAGCCTCCCCCCCAACAGTGGGAGAAACAGAGGCCGTCCGATCTGCCATCACCCTGCATGCCAACCTGAATGATGTTCAGAGTGTGTGGGTTGAGGAGAGGAGAGTCCCGGATCCAACAAATGATGAACACACACACACACAGTCTGGACAGAAAAAAACAGAGACAGAGAGAGAGAGAAGCACCACAAGCTGCTTTGGGTGCACACAAGCCCCCAACACAGAACACACCCTGAGCACAGGCCAGAAAAAGAGCAAACCCACGACGGGACACAGAGACGGGGAGGCATCCGGCATCGCCAACACCAGCTTTGGAATTAAGGGGCGTTCGAGTGGCAGAGAGTGGTTATGGGCGGGAACAAAAGACAGTGCACCCAAAATAAACAACTAACAAACTGAAAAACACAACACCCAAAAAACATCCACATCTGTAAATAGCATTAGAATGATTTCTTTTTCTTAAAAACTCCTGAAACAAGATGATAATTACATGGTCTCAATGTACAATATATGTCAGCTGTATGTAGAAAAGAGACGCGCTGTTGATTAATTAAAAAATATATAATATAATATATATTTATATATTTATATATGCAAGTATTCTTTCTGTGCAGAGGCTAAACACTTGTTTGGTAGTAAAATGTGCACATTTATATTCGTTTTTTTGTTGTTGTTGTTTACGCTTAAATATACTAGCTTGATTTACACTGCCTACTTGAGAACTTTCCTCTACTGAGACAAAATGAGTTTGTTTGAGGTGTTGGAGGAGGAGCGGGTTCGTCCTGCTCGTCTTCCCCTCATTATTCTAGTGGAATGCCTAGAGTTCTTGCTTCAGACAAAAAATATAGAAATATTAGTATTAAACCTGCCTAATGGTGAAGAATAAGAAAATACAAAAAGAAATGAAAAAAAAAAAAAAAGAGTACAGCTTTCTAGGTTAAATCCTGGATTACTTGGACAAACTGGCCAGATTATGCGTTTGGCAATCATTCATTTAAATACAAGCACAAGCGCGTGTCCTTATGTTCAATAAATGCCAAACGTGAACCCCAAAGCAATGTTTACTCTTCAACGTGCATGCTGACTTTTCAGTTTGTATCAGGGGCTCTTTGAAAAGTAATGACGCATGAACATGGATTTCCCGAAAAGGACTTTGATGGAGCATCTGTTTTAGTTAGCGACTTTCAAGTTATTCGTACAAAAAAATAGAAACTTTGTTTTGTCCCGCCTCTGAAAAGAACGTTCAACGTGCAAGCTGAATTCATTTTTTTTTCTCGCAAAAAACAAGGATCGATCCTTCACATGAATCCTGAGTAACCGTGAAAAAATATATCTATTTAAACGTAAAAAAAGGAGAAACGTCCCTTCATTTGAACAGCATTCCTGTCCCGTTTGCTATGCTTTTAAACACAGAGGAACTTTACAGAAAGATTCGACGATTGGCAACTCAGCATTCAAGAGGAAAAGGGGGAAAAGTATCACACCACAAATGAAAAGAAAGAGAAATACCTCATAAACAACAAAGGCAAATAAAAAAAATAAACTGCAGGAAGGTGACCAACATGAATAAAAAGCATCCAAAACGATGCAGAAGTCAGGTAATTTTTCAGTCAAAAATGTCAGCATTTCCACTTGTCCTAGTGACTCTGTTCAGTAATACAGTGTTTTAAGTCGCCAGCATGAATCGGGGACTGCACATACAGTGCAGTGTACATAGCCCATTTTCTGGACCAAAAGAAAAATAAAAACAAACAATATTTCTAATATATATATATATATATATATATATATATATATATATATATATATATATATATATATATATATATATATATATATATATGTATATATATATTTTATATTATAAGTTCAGACAGGCACATTTTGAGTTATGCTTCCGGACTCTGAGCCTGAAACGGCATCCGTCGCAGTCTTTCTATGTTCTTGAACTGTTCGCTTTGGTAACGGGTGTGAATTATGTCATCGTCTTCTTTTTCTTTTTCCAAGTCTTTTCGTGTCCTATTTGACGCAAGTACCTACGGGAGAGTTAAGAGCTCTACATTGAAGGCAGCCTCACAGCCAGGTAACCATGTATGGCACCATTATCCCGTCTGTTTTCATCTGGTCTTCAGAGCTCTGTTGGTTCTCCGCTGATTCTCCATGGGGTGAAAGTGCATAGGAGTGGGGTTCCCACCAAAGGGTCCTCTCACAGTAGTAAGGCCTTTTTTTCAACACAATGTGAACTGCATTAGCTTCAGAGTGTCGGCACAGTGACAAATTTCAGCACGGGGAGATCCGCGAGGGTCTTCCTCTGGGTGTCAACGTGTGTGTTTGTGTAGGTGAAGGAGAGCAAGGGGTGTTCATTACTAGGTTGACCTTCTCCTTCTGCTACTGGCGCTCTTCCTCCTCGGCCTCCTCCTGGATGACCTGGATGTCGTCGGATGAGGAGGTGGATGGAGGAAGGCTGGGACCCTCTGACTGCTGCTGTTGCTGCTGCTTCTGCTGTGTCTCCAGCTCTTTGGCCTTCTCCTCTTCTTCTATGGTCTTCTTCCACACCTTGTGGTTCTCTGTTAAGTGCTGCATGATGTTGCAGAACAACCGACGTCGCCGCTTTCTTCTCTCTGTAAGGAAAAGTACTGGATTAGTAAAGTACATGTGGAATTCTAAACAGCACACTCTTAAAAATAAGGAGTCAATGGTTCCATGAACAACTTTAACATCTATAGAATCTTTCTATTTTAGATAATTACTTTTTTCTTCACACTAATTTTTTACTCTTTCCCCACCAGCTTTTTTAATGATTTTTAATTAAATACGAGTATGAATATATAAACATATTACACAAATGTGTGAACATATAAAAATAAAGAACTGAGCCTCTGCTTTTAAACAAAGCAATCATTGATATGTTCATGTTTTATCACCACTTAAATGCAGACAGTTTTCATCAAAAATACAGCTTTAGAGTGATACATGTAAAAAACATCATCTCTCAATTGATGAGATATCTCACTGAGGGTATGGAACGAGCTAAGAACTGACCATGGAAATGTTTTATTAGAGAAGCAAAAGTTGATCTTAAAAGTTTTAAAAGTGCAGTGACCAAAATGCATATCCAGCCTAGGAATGTGCAAATTTTCCCCTTAATTTAAATATACTGTTATGTTAATGTAGACTTTCTCAGCATAAACAAAGCTGACATTGGCATAATATAATCCTTCTCAAATCTTTCTAACATGCTAATCTGTTTGTTTTCCATGTTTAAAACTGTTGTAATGCTTAACATTACAGACAATGTTGCAAAATATTTAAATTTTGAATATTCATCAAGAGTCCTTAAAAAAGTATGACTGGTTTAATGGAGGTAGTTTACCTATTACTACTGACTGTTGCTTTGCATTATAAAGTAAAACTTACTTTATTAAGCAGGTTCAAAGAATAAGCAGGGAAACTAAGTATTGAACATGTCATGTTTTTTTCTGGGAAAAATATGTCTAAAAGAGCTGTTGGAAAAAAAATCTGTTGACCAGATTTTGGTAAAAACTCAAACAATACAAACAAAACAAATCTGAAAAATGAGTTGTGTGTAAGAACGAAATGACACAAGAAGTAGGTACTGAACTACTGAAATGTATTTAATACTTTATATTAAAGACTTTGTTAATAATGGCAGCTTAAAGACACCTCTAATATGGAAAATGAAGTCACATGAATAGCTTAGGTGTGAGTTTTTTCACAGACTTCAACAGTGTAAAAATCTTGACGGCTTTTTGCTAAATAATTTGTTAGTTAAAAACGTTTTTCACCATTTTTCTCTTCCAAAAAAAAAAAATAATTTTTTTTTCTCACAAGTTTGTTAAACATACAGTATGGAGTCACTAAAAGTAAATACTATGCAAATGTCAAATACTATACTCCAAAAAAAGTATGATAGATTTGTTCGTCTTTAGAACACAAATTAAGAGGCTCAATCTGAATATTACCAAGCTATGAGAATACTTTCTGCACGCATAAAAACTAAAATAATGACTTTATTCATCCTTTTTTTTTTCCTCAGTATCACGAAATTGCACACGTTCATGAACACTGCAGTGACACATATTGGACTGACATAAGGATGGGAAATTATTAAAAGAATTAAAATTTTGGGGGTAATGAACACTTTAATTCTGTGGTGATGCCCAACTGTTATTTGCAACAATTCTAAATGTTCTGCTTAAAACAGCATAAATGATTGTATTCGTAAATATTTATGACTTGTTTGTATATCATTGTCAGTTCTTATCACTCATAAAATCTTTAGTGGAATCAATAGTTAAATGAAAAACCTTTAACATCTATGGAACCATAAAATTCCACAAAGGGTTTTAATGTGGAAAATGTTTCTTTAGATCATTAAAGTGTACTGAACATTAATAAATAAATGGTTCACTAAATAAAATAAACAAAAGACTATGTCAGGGTGTTCGCAGGGTCTTAAAAAGTATTAAAAATTGCTAAATCAATTTAGAGAAATTTAAGGCCCTTAAAAAGTATCAAAAAGTCTTAAATGCTGTTTTACAAGGTCTGATACACATCTTGTATCCGTAGACTAAAGTTTGCCTGAATTTAATCTTTAAAAATTGGGATGCTGTGTAGTTTCTGAAACCAAACAAATCCTGCTAGATTTAAAATCACGCTGCTTTGTTTACTGCAGTAACCAGGGAAACACTATTATTCCTGCTGTTGCAAAGGCGCCACCTGCTGGATTGAAATTTTTATTCAGTATATAAATGAAGATTTAGATGCAAAAACCTCTAAAAGCCATTTGATATTTTCTTCTAAAATGAGCATTTTTCTCCAGCTCTTGTGTGTTGGCTCAGTAATTTTACATTTATAGTGACAAATAAGTTCTTTTCATTGCCTCTCAAGTGAAATAACTGAACATAAATATAGCAGGCTGAGAAAAATTCTCTTTTTAGAAGAACATTTCAGATGACACTTAGAGGTTTTTGCATCTGAACTCTTCAAATACAGTTTTAGTTTAGGATTTGTTTCTTACTAACAGTATTTAGTAAATATACTGCAAGTTAAGTCGGCAATGTTACTGGTTGAAACCTAAAGTGGTGATGAGGTATTAAAATGTATGCGAAGAGTCTTAAAAGAGGTCTGAAAAGGTATTGAATTTCTGTCTCTGATTCCGTTATATACCATGTGAGTTGATGTATAAATTGTACTGTACTGTATATCATACTTGGTTCAAGATCCTCATCCAGCTCTTCATCTTCTGTTTCATTGTCTTCTGTTTCCTCTTCATCGTCGGATCCTTCCTCATCAATCCAGTATCCTGGCAGAAGACCGGCAGCATCATAGGAGTTACAAAGAGGCCCGACGATGTGCGTGATAAAAGACTCCTGCAGCTTTGCTAACTGTGGAGCCGAGCGGTCCATGAAAGGACTGATGGGTAATCCGAGAGTGCCTTCCTCGTCACCCTATCAATGCACAAATATTAATCTCATGCTGTCACTGGTGAAGCTGTGTGCTTCATCTGAAGGGAATAGATCTCACCTGCTCATAAAACTCATTGACGATGCCCTCTGTCCATTTGAGGTGGAGGCTGCGGTCTTTGGCTGGCCCATTGATATCTGCCAGCTTAATGCACACTTGGCACACTAACAACCTGTCGTTTTCATTAGTCCAGTCGATGCCTGGACTGTTCACATCATTAACCTAAAAAAAAGAAAAATCCAGAAAAAAAGCACTTTTTTTTTTTTTAAAGGGTTAATTGGGCATAAGCAGGAAAATGAGTATTGACCACGTCATGTTTTTTCCTGAGAATAATATTTCTAAAGGAGCTGTTGACAGGGAATTTAACAAGATTTTGGTAAAAAAAATAATAATAATAATAATAAAAACAATACAAACATAAATATAAAACAAAACTAAAAAATCTGAAAAATGAGTTGTACGTAATAACAATGAAATGACACAAGCAGAAAGTACTGAACTATTGAAATGCATTTAATACTTTATATAAAAGGCTTTTTTTTATATAAAGGCTTTCTTTGCTCATATGTCATTTTTTTTCACAGACGTCAACTGAGTGTAAAAATCTTGATGGTTCTGCGAGTTTCATTAGTCAAATCTGGTGTTTAATTTGTATTTTATATTAGATTTAAGCAGGCATGAGACGACAACCAGTTTTAAAGTTTACCGCGGTTTGAAAAAAATCAAGGTTTTAAAACTGCCAAAGTTTTCTGTTATACCATTTTGTAGGGTATATGCAAGTTTTTTTTTTTTTTTTTTTTTTTTTAACTATTCTATTTAGTTTTTAGGGCAACAGTATCTCCAGCAGAAAAGGAACCTCTACATCAAAAGCTATTGGTCCAAAATATTTGAAATGTTTCTTAAAATAAAAAATATTGTCTTCAGTGGGGGAAAAATTTGTTGGTTTTTACCCAGACATTTAAAAAGAACTTCTTTTTTTGGCTGGGCCATTATACAGCTAGATTTTCTTTCTCTGAAAGCATTTGAGAGTTTCCTTGGCTGTGTTTTGGATCACTGTTTTGCTGAAATGTCCACTCTGGTTTTATCTTTATCATCCTGGTAATGTAGATGTTGGATTGAAGCAGCTAATATTAATTTAGAATGATTAAGTGCAGATAGCTACTGAAGAACTACTGCTGTCTTCAGCTGCTGTCTGGACTTTCACTGCTATTCTACACCTCCCTTTCTTCATGTGTTCAATACTTTTCCCTGCGTCTTACTACATTTTTTAGGCATAACCTAATTTGCAAACTAATTAGATTTGTTTTCTTTGCATATATGGATTTCTTTGGCTGTTACCAACCTCCTGTGAAAATTTCAAGTCAACAGCACCTTATGAAACATGTTTTCTAAGAAAATGGTGACGTGTTCAATACTTATTTTCCCCACTGTATATTAAATCCTGGATATACGGTGTATACACAGACTACTAAAAAAACTTTTTTGAAAATTGAAATATTTGATGTTAACAGGATGCAAGACATTATACAGCACAAATTCATTTAAAAATATTTTTAAAAGGTAAACATTTATTGTGAAGACACTGCTGCATTGTCATGGTTCAGCAGGCACATGTATCTTCAAAAATCATTCTAATATGCTGGTTTGAAGATATCCTGGTATCTTCTATGTAAAAAAAAAGTTGTGTTGCCTAAAATAAACATTCATAAAGTTAGAAAAGATTTGTGCTTTGTTGCTGTTTCCCTTGTCTGGTCATCCTGGCTTCATGTTCTGGATATGCCTAATGAGCCTAGTTCATTTACACTAATGGCTATCATGCTATATTACACATTATTGAAATTTAAATAAAAATATTCCTTCAGATTTTGTTTTATTATTTTATATACATTCATTAATGGAAAGTAATTAATTGAATTTTGTATCCAATGAAAAGTATTCAAATGAAAATCTAACATTTTTTCAAACAATAAATATGGAAGAAATGCATTAATAACAATAATAATAATAATAATGTTTGTAAATAATGTTTATGTAGTACTATCTAATATTAAGTCAACACAAGTTAATACATTATTGATGGAACCATATTGTAATGTTACCCTAAAATATTTTAGAAATATGAATATAAACTGTTAAATGGAATCTTACCAAATCTCAAAATGTATTTTAATTACTGTATAATAATGTTACTACTAACCTTAGAATTAAACTCTGCAAGGAAGTCAAAGTGCTTCTTCAGGTCTGTGGCGAGTATGGCCTCGATCACTAAGAACCGAAAGCGTTTAAATTCAACGTGGTCCAAGTTGCAGAGGAAGTTGAACTCGGGCCGGGACAGAAACAGGCTCCAGGCAGAGGCTGCATGGTGATTCTCCAAAACTGAGCGGTCATTATATAATACCGCCTGAGAGGAGAGAAGAAAAACATCATGGTGTGCTTGAGTTGAGAGGTTTCAAGCTCTAATTACAAAATCATATGCTTCTGATAAAACATGTGCTGGATTGACTTCTTGACAACAGTGCGAAAACTAGATATTTAGCCAAAACTGTGCTAACAAGTTACTCTGAAGTGTGGATACTAAGGTTCTCCTAGGCTACAGTTTTGGGCATTGTTCATTACTTACCTGAGGAGCGTTAGTGGCAACTAAAAAGGCATTTGTTCGACCAGGATGATCATAGTCATGCATAGCAGCTGCTACATATAGTGCCATGAGTTCCAGAGCTGGGACATTCCAGGCCAGACAGCCGTAACTGTCATCCTGAAAAGAGGAACTTTTGGATGTGGCATATGCCACCCTGCCTGGAGAGATTCCACTGTCTGAATCTGATGAAAAAACAAAACAAAGAGCAAACATGTGAAATACCAGTCTTCATGTACACATGTAAATCACAATGGCAGTTCAATCAGATTTAAAAACATTAATTCAACCTTAATCAGTCCCACTGCGCTACATCTAATTTGAGTTTCAATCTGATTGGGAGGTTTATTCCTTCATTCATTTTCTTTCAGCTTAGTCCCTTTATTCATCAGGGGTCACCACACAGCGGAATGAACCGCAAACTTATTCAGCATATGTTTTGCACAGCGGATGCCCTTCCAGCTGCAACCCAGTACTGGGAAACGTCCATACACACTTATTCACATACATACACTAAGGACAATTTAGTTGATTCAATTCATCTATAGCACATGTGTTTAGACTGAGGGGGAAACCGGAGTACCTGGAGGAAACCTACGCGAACATGAAGAGACTCCATACAGAAATGACAACTGACCCAGCTGGGACTCGAACCAGTGACTTTCTTGCTTTGACGCGACGAGCTACTGTGTCACCCCTCAGTGGTTTATTCCTTTTCTCATCCAATCCAACAGCAAAAAATTACCATGTAAACGATTAAATCTGACTACTTTCAAAAGTTGCATTTAGTAGTCTCTAGAGAACATTAGCAGTGCAATATTTACAAGCATTAAAAGGATGGTCCACCCAAAAATGTTAGTTATTTTATCAATAATTTACCTTTCACTTGCTTCTTTCTTCTATTGAACACAAAAGACCATTGACTTACAAAATATTTGTGTTTCCTGCTATGGAAGTCAATGGTTAGAGGTTTTTAGCTTTCTTCTAAATATCTTCATTTGTTTTCAACAGAAAAAAAAAAAAACTTGAAAAGTCTGGAATCACTTAAGGTTGAGTAAATTTTAGTTTCTGAGTCAACTGAGTCAATCTCATTTAGAACATTTTGTGTAAATAATTAAAATACTAAATAGTAGCTAAAATCTATTTCTTTCAAGGGGCTATTGGATGCCAATTTTACATATGATGTAAAACAACATTATAACAAACAGTAGGGGTGGGCGATTTTGCCTAAAACAAAATCTTGAATGATTAAAAATTTTAACTCGATTACGATTAACAAACGATTCTTTTATTTATTTATTAAATTTTTTTGCCCTCGTAGTTTACTGACAAGTTTTATATGCAGTTTCGCGGCATCTCTGGTGCAGCTTCAAATCATCATCAATGTAGTGTAAAATAAGGCTCAAAAATGAGTCCATCGTTCTACTTGACCAGAGATCAGATGTGGCTGCAAAGTGGCCACAGAATTAGAAATCAGCCACAGCCTTTAACAGAGTGGGGTCACGTGACACGTAAGGAAAGTCATTAAAAACATTGTGCTGGAAAAATTAGATCGATTACAGGTTCTAAATGTCAATTTCGATTACTTTTTAATTAATCGCCCAGCCCTAACATACAGTAATGAAATGCAACTTTGAGATCTGTTAAAATTCCATTTACCAGCTGATATTTATAGTAAAAAACTTATTTTAGGGTAACACTTTACAATTATAATAATATTTTTAAATAGTTCATAAATAAGTTAGGCGGATTATTCCTCTGTGGCGGACCCTGATTAATAAAGGGACTAAGCAGAAAATAAAATAAATGAATAAATAAATAAGTTAATAAAATGCAGCTGTTCATTATTATTTCATGTTGGCTCAGATTAATTATATTAACTGATAGAACTTTTAGTATTAGTATAATAATGTAAAAAACAACAGCATTACCTAGGATCAGTAGGTGATTTAGTTAACTATGTTAGTTAATGTGGACTAATGATTAAACACTTCTAATATTAAGAAATGGAACCGTATTGTAAAACAGTAACAATTTACACTCTTTGTTAACTATATAACCCATCACAGGCCTTAAAACTACAGCAATAAAACAAGATAAACCAACACCACCACAGATCTGCAATTAGAATGACAGCTTTTACAGCAAAGCAAACATTCCTCCATCTCTTTGTCAAAGATTTCTGAATATCGTGAAGCTCTGTACTTGAGCCAGCCGGTGAAGTCAGTGGCCTCAGTGTGATTCAACACCTCTGCTTGCCAGCGCTGGCGGCCGGTGAAACAGCAGCACGGTGACTCAGAGTCAACTCCATTTGAGAAATTACAAGGGCCATCAGCAGACTTAAAATAAGCCTCGGACATGCTGAGCCAGCAGCCACCGCAGATCTCAATCGCTTCCCTTATCGGACAGCATTTGCGTCGCTGGCTGGAATAATGAAGACTGGGCAGAGGCGACGGCATCTAATTTATTTTCGATGGATAAGGAGGTATGCAAGATATAATTAGAGACATGACTGCAGATGCAAATGATACTTTAACCTGAATCGGTCTATGATATACTTCATATTATTGTTTTTTTTGTCTACTGTCTTGTCCAAGGGCACAATGGCCTCATATACACTGCAGATAAATTTGGCTGTCGCTTCACCTTTTAAGGCTTAATACTCTTCTGTGCACACAATTAAGAAATTTACAGGAGTAATGACCCCATTCAACGACCAAAATAGCTCCTGAAAAAAATGCACAGTGATCACTGCATTTACAGAGAAATTATACGCAGTGTGTAGGAAACTGAACTGATCAACTAACAAATTTTATCACACATCTAAAATGTGTGGCAGCATGGTGGCTCAGTGGTTTGCACTGTCGCCTCCCAGCAAGAAGGTCACTGGTTTGAGTACCAGTTGCGCCAGTTGGCATTTCTGTGTGGAGTTTGCATGTTCAACCTCTGAATTAGAGACTAAGCAGAACGAAAATGAATTACTGAATGATCAAAAATGCGTCTTAGTTCTGAATGTAACTAGCTGCGTACAGTGAACGAGGTATGATCATTGCCAGATCTAGAAAAATACAGTTTAAAAGAAAATATTGCACATCTGCCTACTTTAAGATCAAATTTTGAACAAAATCTATATACAGGGTTTCTATAGGTTTCATCAAGTCAAATTTAAGACTATTTTAAGACCTTTTAAAGACTATAATGAATGAAATTTCAAACTTACACAAGGCTAAACCCTAAGGATTTTTTTTTAAAACTTAAAAAAAACATTAAAAAACAAATGTTATGAAAAAAACTATGTTATTAAGTAAACAGAGTTCATAAATAAATGTTTCGTAAAACTTTTATTAAAATATATTGTTAGTGATTGGATGAGTGTTGGGCCAATTGAGTAAAGCTTTACACGGACTTGGCTTTACATGGAAAATTAAGACCCGTTTCAAATGATTTAAGACCTACAAGACAATATTTCAGTGGATTTAAGACTCTAAGGCCTAAAATTTGGTTTTGAATATAAGCATACAACATCCTATAAAAGTGGACTTGGCAGTACTGCAAAGGAAAGTCAAAACATCAACATACACAATGCACCACTCATCCGTGGCTTAGCTCAAATTGCAGAACATAATAAGGGTTTGGAAACTTGTCCAAAATGGTGAATACAAAAACACTAGACGCTTCAAATTGTCTATGGTTGCAAAAGTGTCAAATATGTAGTTTTAACTATGCAAGTTCTGTGTAGCACACCATACGAACTGAACAATAATGTGCATAATGTACTGCCATTTTTAAATGTGGTTGTCATTCCTGAAACTTACAGTGTAGAGTAATGATAAACCATTAATGGCCATTTTGAGATTTGAAGTTTGATCATTTTGGTATCGGTTTACACCAGGTAAAGTTTCTTCATGAATAATGACACATGAGATCATAAAAGTACCTGTATCACTTCCAGTAACATGCTCATTGTGGATCTGCTGAAAGCCTGGGATCGGCTGGGTGGTAAGATACCAAACTGCATGAAGGACGTCTGTGGCATGGACACGGTTGTGATCTGAAGTGAGAGAACAGATAAAACAACATGTTAAATCTTCGCTGGAATCCTTTCTAAATGTTTCACATGACGCAAATCTGTACTGTGGTCCAGTTTAAAAGCAATTCTAACCCAGTTTTCAAGTTTAACTTTAACAAGATTTGTTTTAATTCTCACAGGGGATATCACGATAGCCATTCTCCAGAGCGCAAAAGTACGTCATGAATTCCCTCACAGGGATTTTGAAGATTTCAAACAGACCCGTGTCCTGGAACAAAGTGTACGCCACCTGAGAGAAAGCAACAAACAGAACTTCATTAGGAGAAGACGAGCAGTGAGCCATTGAGTCCCTGCAGATTCGTGTTTATTGGCACGCAGAACTGAGAAAGACCACTAGCATTACATGCAGCTAAATCTGTGAAATGCCAGTCACATCAGATCAGACAATAAAAGTGGGTAATTGCTCAGATTTAACTAAATGGGCATGGTTTTAATTAGCTAAAAGAGAACCATGTTTGCCACAAAAGAGATGTAAAAACTCTTAATTGCATTGTTTAGTTTTTTTATTGAAGTTGATTTACAAATCTCAGCTTAAAGGGACAGTTCACACAGAAATCAACATTTGCTGTTCATTTGTGACTTTTCTCATCAGTAGAACAAAACAGATTTTTTTAGCTGAAATCCTGGTCCTTAGTGCTTCACACTGTGCAGCAATCAAATCAGATGTTATAACCATCATGATGCAAAACAATAATGGAATTTTATTTATGTATTTCTACTCTTGACTCCTGATGCTAAACTGAGGTATTGTGAAGTTAAACAACCACTCTGATTAAGAAACTGAACTAGAGCCCTGCACTGACCTTAAATCTAAGCCTTAGCCCGGCCTTGGCCCGAGACGCCTGGCTGTAGCCCTGCCCTTGTCCAACAGCTTATCAAATTTTTTGCCAAGAGTCTGACCTGAAGCCCGTGTTTTATTTCGCCAGACAGCTTATACAGTTACAGCCATTAAAATAGACTAGATTTGTATTTAATAGAAAGTTGATGTTTTTTCGTTTTGTTAATTTTTTCAGAATAATTTAGAGAAATGTTTGTTTTTTAAATGTAACTTTTAGTTTTTTTAAGTGACATTGATATCTCAGCAGAATGTGGGCAGAGGAATCACTGGCACTACCAGACTGCATGCATTAGATCTCATAAAACTATTTTTTTTCCAAAGCAGGCCTGAAGCCTGATATGTGTGCTAGCAATGACGTGAAAATTGGCCCAAAACCCAGCCCCACGGTGAAAGAAACGTCAGGCCCCGATAGGATCAGGCTCAAATGCAGGGTTCTAAACCGAACATTATTTACAACATTATTGCATTTAATCCACAAATTTTAAGGGGGATTCTTTAAAGTAAACTGATTTTCTTAGATCGTTCATTTCTGGCACAAACAAACAGATTTGCTAGTTTGTTTGGGAAAACACTTAGTTTCAATTATATTAATAAAGCATTAATCAATTATTTTAATAAAATAATTCTTTCTAGCCTCTGGCACAGCTCTGCACAAGAAGTTTGGCCAGAGGAGAAATGGTCATGCCCATCTGAGCCTGGCTTCTCTCAAGGTTTTTTTTCTTTCACTTTCGTCAATTGGTGCCGTTTGGACTTTCAGCAGTGAAAATTAAACCACTCTGAACTGAACAAAACTAAACTTCAACTCTGAAAACTGGACTAAAACAGTTTCAATTTACTAGAACTTCTATGCTAAGCTGCTTTGATACAATCTACATTGTAAATAAAAATTAATTTAATTGAATAAAGCAGGAAATAAAAAATAAAAAAACATTTAGCTGAATGCTTGGATCTAGCATGAGCTTATCACCAGCTTATCAGTTACTCGTTTGGAGTTTGAACTTTTTCCTCAGCTCCATCAATGTTGGAATAATTGAATTGCTAAAAAAAAAAAAAGAAACAAAAGAAAACCCAGAATACGATCATGTCAAGAACACTGAAACTCTTGAGACATTTCATTCAGTCTCATTTTACCAATTAAAAAAAGATATGCTTTTGAACTGGATGTGACTCTTGGCCATTTGCCTTAGCCTATGAATAACAGGTAATAAAGTGGAACATAACGTTCAGTTTCTTGCACAGAGCAGTGGTTTTACTTCATAAGCCCTCAGTGTATTGTCAGAGCTAATTTAATTTCCTGAAATACTTTTTTTTTTTACTTTCATACTGTCCATCACTATAAACTCGCATTTTTTTGAACCACCCAGGATCACCATTTTATCTAAAATATCTTCTTTATTGCACTTTTGAAGAAAACATGTCTCCTACATCTTGGATGGCCTGAGGGTGACTAAATCAATGGCAAATTATAATTTTGGCCTGCATTTTAATTCATATCAACAGGATCTTTGCACTAACATAGCTGAGTATCCTGCCAGTCTTCCCTCCCGTCAAATCCATCAGCTCAAAGATCTGGAAGTTCCAGGTGTTGATCTTTTCCATGAGCTCTTCGTGCTCCACCAGCATGAGATCCAGCCTGAACTCCTCGTCTCCCTGCCAGAGATTAATCACAGTCAGAAGGTACAAGGTCTCGCAAGAATCTTAGCTGAGCTTTTTTCGGAGAAAGTCACGCTTGGAGTCTTTTCCAGGGATAACATTGAAAACATTCTGCTAAGTCAGCTAAATTTACGCTGTCCTCGTGCGCTCTTACTGTAGACCCCTTTGGACAAAACAATAAACTGAGCGTTTGCAGTGAGAGATCCACTCAAGAGCCACAGCTATAAATCCAGCAACCACATAATAATGCAAAAGCATGGGAATGCAAATAAGCACTCTGCCTCTAAACTCTGCTCGGCTTGTTCAACAGCTGGCCACTTTAACAACTGCCAGATTGGCCAATAAAAGAAGCCGAGGATTCAAGACAAGGGCATTTCAGGTTACGTGCGAGAAAAGCTCTTCTCTTGCGAGGCGAAACAGCACTTCATAAATTAAAATTACTCATCTGCAGGCAACAATGGATGGTGATTTCAGTTCCTGAGGCAGTGTTTTATACATTAAAATAATGAAACCAAGTGGGGATAAAGCATGTGTATGTGCTCTACCTCAGGATCCAGTGAGGATTGCTCCGTACTGGAGGTCTGTTCCTCTTCCTCAGGCTGGCTATTTACTTTTTCCCCTGCTGTGTCTGAAGTCCTCTCCTCTTGAGACTCGGCCTCTAAACTCTCCTCTCGGATCAGGTTTTCTCCTCCGTACTCTGCTCCATCAGCTAAGGAAGGAAGTAAAAGCAACATTTTGAGTGAAGGACTCTCTCTTTGAGCGACTCTACTGAAATCCCGTTTGTCATAGAGCTTATGAACTTTACCTGAGCGTGTTCTCTGCATCTCATTGGCTGTTGTGTGATGGCCTTCGACCACCTCCACACTGGGCACACCTTTCAGCATCTGTCGGCCACAACTACAAAAACCAAACACAATTATTTACTTCTCACACTAGCCAAATTGTTCTTGTCCCATGAAATGAAAAGGGCTTGAGGAGTAACAGTCAATGTGCAGATTACAGGGGGTTTGACCACCGTAATTAAGACTGAAAAGACGTTACAACAAGATGTCTTGGTAGTCTGCTCTTTAAATAGTGAAAATGGTTTGCACTGATCTATATCTTAAATAATAATAACAACAATGAAAATAATAAGTTAATATAAATTTGATCGCACCTATAATAGTTCATACCATTATCAATGCATGATCGCACACAGAATATTGAGTCAGTGGTCTGAATCCAGCAGATTTAGCCTACTGATAGACTCTGTAGGTGTTTAAAAGACATGTTATTTTGCAACTAGTTGTTTGTATCTGCATATAGTCGAAAGTAAATTAAAGTTAGACTTATAGTGTGCACAAATAGTACAACAGAAAGCGTGATCATTCATGATTATCTATTTCTTGGTGCAGGGGTGCAAACTTGTCACTGTTTGGTGAAATTCATTAAAAAAAAAAAAAAAAGGTCTTCGAGAATTGCATGTCTGTTGAAATAACCCAACACGGGTTCTTCTAGGCAGTGCCGGCCCATCCAACAGGCAATATAGGCAGTTGTCTAGGGCTCTGCATTTTTGAAGGGCTCCACGAATGCTATTCTTGCGCGCTCATGTTTATTGTTTAAATTTTTATTTGTATATGTCATACTTATATACTGTTTTGTATTTAGTCTTTTCTGGCTTTATGTATGAACTAGGGACTATGCTGCAATTTTGAGGTAAACATACAGCTGCAGAGACAGACGATGCTGCTACATCTGAAATTTTTCATAGTACTCCATAGTCCCCTTCTTAATTTATTTGCTTTATTTATTTGTATTTAATTTAGTTTGTTTTATGTACAATTTGTTTTTACAACACATTTATTCTTTCATTTACAATACTTTGCAATACTAATAAATCTGAGTAAATATTTTTTTACATATGTATTATGGGTTAAATATGTTAGTTAGAAAAAATGTATACACTTAAATATTAAAATCGTATTTTTTGTGCTTTCTTCTCATAGTTTTTACACCAGTGGGCCCACTTTTTTTTAATCTTACCTAGGGCCCCTCAACCCTATGGGCCGGCACTATTTCTAGGTCAGAATTTAATCAAACATTGAAAACCTAAATAGGTTTGATTAATAATTGAGTTGTAACTGAATAAAAAAGTTGAACACTCAATTTATTACAAACCTTTAGGAGTTTCTTTCTTCTCTTAAACACAAAAGAAGATATTTTGAAGAAATCTAAAAACCTGTAACCATTGACTTTCATAGTACGACAAATAAATACTTTGTAAGTGAGTGGTTAGAGGTTTAGAGTATTATTCAAAATATCTTCTTTTGTGTTCAATGGCAAAAAACAAAGCTCAAACAGGTTTGCAACAAGTGAAGGAAGAGTAAATGATGGCATTTATTTATTTTTGTTTATTTATTTATTTATTTATTTAATCATTCATTCATTTTCTTTTCGGCTTAGTCCCTTTATTAATCAGGGGTCGCCACAGTGGAATGAACTGCCAACTTATGCAGCATATGTTTTACACAGCGAATGACCTTACAGCTGCAATCCATCACCAGCAAACACCCATACACTCTCATTAACACAAATACACTACAAACAATTTAGCTTACCCAATTCACCTACAGCGCATGTCTTTGGACGTGTCGGGGAAACCGGAGGAAACTCACACGAACACGAGGAAAACATGCAAACTCGACACAGAAATGTCAACTGACCCAGCCGAGGCTCGAACCAGCAACCTTCTTGCTGTGAGGCGACAGCGATACCCACTGCGCCAACTATTTATTTTTTAATATTTAAAATTACTGAAATAGTCACCCCACCTAAAAGTCCACGTATAATTAATGCACTGTTACAGTACCTGGTGCACAAGGGGGTTGAGGCAGAAGTTCGATACTGCTGCTGAAAATCTGGCGAACTCATTGTGTAGCCCAGGGGTTTGTGCAGGTTGACGCTGGGCTTGGTGAGGAAGTCAGCGGTGTCGGGGAACTCAACCGGTGAGCGAGTGACCAGAGACGAGCCAGGACCAGCAGGGGGACTGTGACTCGGGGAGGTGACGGGACTGAGGCTCGGAGAGGCACCTACACACATGGAAATCAAAATCGATTAAGTTATTCAAATATAATTGTTATAAAATGTAAATCATGCATAAAACAGCTGGATACATCCTTACTAAGATTCTTTTCTGAATGAAAATAATTTTGATATGCTTGTCACCGTTAATTCAAAATGCAGTGCTTGCAGAGAAGCAGCAAAAGGTATGATCATGTACTGTTAAAGTAATAAAACACATCAAAAACTTAACTGCATGGCATGAACTTAATTATTTATTTGTCTGCCAGATTAAATGATTTTGCAATTAGGCTACACGAAGGCTATTTTTGCATGCTCATGTTCACGGTTAAATTTTTTATTTGTATGTCAAACTTACACACTTTATTTTTAAATTAGTCTTTTCTGGCTTTATTTATGTACTGGGGACTATGCTGAAAACTTACAATGTACCTACAGCTGCAGAGACAGACGATGCTGCTAAATCTGAAATTTTTCATAGTATATATTTTTTTAGTTTTCACTGATATGGTGCACTGGTTGTGTTTAGTTTATATTGCACAACAACATGGAAGCACAATAAACATTCAAGCACAATAAACGTTTTCTTTCATCAAAATGGTTCATATACTTTAAGATTCTGTGTCTTATTAAATCTGTTCCCTTCATTTATTTTTTTGTTTATTAACATTTGATTTAGTTTGTTTTATGTACAATTTGTTGTTACAACACACTTGTACTTTCATTACCAAAACATTACAAAACTTGTAAACTTCTTTGTTTCAATCTGAGTAAATATTTTTTACATATGTATTAAAGATTAAATATGTTACAGTTAATAAAAATGTATACACTTAAATAAAAAAATAAAAAAATTGTGCTTTCTTCTTACAGTTTTTACACCAGAGGGCCCACTTTTTTTATCCTGCCAAGGGCCCCTCAACCCTATGGGCCGGCACTGATTCTAAGTCAGAATTTAATCAAACATTGTAAACATTGAATATAATTTTGATATATCCTTATCACCGTTAATTCAAAATGCAATTGCAGAGAAATGTTAAAGGTCTGCACATGAACTGTAAAGTAATAAAAGACTTCAAAAATAAATTTTGGCATAAACTTAAATGTTTCTTTAACTGCCTGATAACAGGATTTTGAAATAAGTCAGCTGTATTGGTAAAAATGGGTTAGGTTAGGCATGAAACGATAATTGGTTTTAAGATTTACTGCAGTTTTGAAAAGTCAAAATTTTAAAACCGTTAAAAACGGTTACCTTCCTGTTATACCGTTCCTAAGGTATTTGTAAGTTTTGTTTTATTTTCAACATGTTTTTACAATTATTTAATTGAGTTTTTTAGAGCAGCAGTAGAAAAGATCCCTCCACAAACTACTGGTCAGTCCATGATTCAGGATACATCTGAAAAACAAATCCCTTATAAACCACATCCAGCATGCTGTAGAGCTGAACAGAGGACTTTATACCAAGCTTACTCTATATCCAAAGAAAAGAAAGATATCCAAAGATGCCTTTTCAAGTTGTAGGGGTAGTGCATATGCATGAAATACAACACATTTAATAAACAAATAATTAAATCTGATTAACCTTTGTTCCAGCTACAAATGTTTCTTGCACCTGAATGCTTTTAACTCACTTGAAATGTTTACACAGTAACAGGCTTTAAATGCTCAAGTTTGTTCAAGTATTTGACCATATTTTTCATATTTAACCTCACATATCCTGTAAAGCGTCTATTGCAGAATCACACATATTGTGGGCCTTTTACTATCCCTACACAGAGGATTTGTGAATGACAGTTAAGAGATGGTCGCAAGACAGGTCACACGCCAAAGTACTTCCAATTTCATTAATACAATACAATACAAATTCATTAATTATATATATATATATATATATATATATATATATATATATATATATATATATATATATATATATATATATATATATATATATATACACACACACACACACACACACACACACACACACACACACACACACACACACACAGGTAAGGTTAAGGTTAAGGTTATACAAGATTTTTTTTTTTTTTTATGTAAATATATATAAATATTTTTCTCTTCTCTTTTTTCTTTTATCATCCGACATCTCTCAACCTTTACAAAATGTGCTTTGAAAGGAAGGTTACAGTATTTGACTCTTGATGGGTGCTGACCTGGTCTTCTGGATAAAGTGTGGCCATAGGAGAGGGTGACGGAGGACGATCTCTGTTTAGGAATAGTCAGCAAGTTGCTGTTAGGCCCATTAGAAACAAAACTGTTGGGTAAAAACACAATGCACAAATAAATAACATTGTCTAATGCTAATTCTCAACACATTTTCTTGACTTCAGGTTAACACATTCACAGTTAATCAGATTATTTTAGCTGTATTTAAGTTTAAAATATATTTGCAAGGGACATGGCATCTACATGAGCCAAGTTGTAAGTAAGGCAAGACAGAATCTGTTGATTCATGTGTAGAAATTTGGCAAATTTATGCAGAATGGGTTTGAGAGTATAGGAACTAAACACTTAATAAATGAAATAAAGAAATAAAATAGTAACTTTTAAGTAAGGTTTACAATGCAGATCCAATTAGAACCACTTGTTTGGTAAACAAAGCTAAATAATATTTAATTATAATATCTATAATATTTCTACTAAACAGAAAATAATTCTTTACATACTCTATTGTACACAAATCCTCTAAATATCAGCATAATATTTAATAATATTACTAAATCAAAATAAAAAATGAATATATATATATATATATATATATATATATATATATATATATATATATATATATATATATTTACACACATTTACATAAATAAATAGACTGAATGAAGGCCTCAGAAATCTCAGAAAAAAAATCTCTTATAAGAAGCTGCAAACAGATGACGTATAAACACTGCCACCTTGAGGACAAATTGCAAAATTTCAGATTATATACATGGACCTATTACCCTGCCTTATCTATCACAGTATTGTCACACTAGGTGTCAAATGCCAGTGCACAGATACAAATGCACTGCTGTTTCTAAGGCCCCGTTTACACTAGTGCGTTTTAGTTTGAAAACGCATAAGTTTTGCTACGGTTACGCCATCCGTCCACACTACGCCGGAGTTCTCGAGCGCCGAAAACGGAGCTTTTTGAAAACGCTGGAGAGGCCGTTTTCATTCTAAAACGCTGCTGCTCCGTCTCAGTGTGGATGGGGAAAGACGGAGACATCTGAAAACGGAGGCGGGGCTGCAAACGTTCGCCTCTCTGATTGGGGCTTTTCCTGAATATTAAGTAGCCCACACACAGTTCAGTCTCGCATCCTCTTCTTGTAAGTTAAGACTTCGCAAGTTTTGATCAAGGCTGCAGTCTCTTCTTCTCAGTTTGATATGGAAAACATACCGAGGACACGGGTAAATCTTCAAAGGGAACAGTGTACTTTATAACTTCATTCACATCACCTTTGCTACGTTGTTTCACTTTCTCAACAATAAAACGTAAACATGATTTAAGGAACTGCCTATTTTCTTTTTAATATTAGCAACTTAACAGACAGCAGAAATGTTGAGGCGCCGTGCTGCATATATGAGCGTAATCTTCACTGTGTGCATATTTATAACTAAACGGAGCCGATAACAACTGCCTCCTTTCAATTTCAGTGAAAATACGAAACACACCCTCTCTTCTGCTGAATATCAGTTTTAATAATCGATAATTATAAAAGTATAACATACAATAAGTTTATACATTGTAGGAAATAAAGGCAAGCGATCAGTCAATGTACCTGGATTAATCATTAACTTATCTTTGCGCTTAACCAAAACATGTTACCCGTGAACAAGTAACTTAATAGATTCCAATGACCAACGTCAGGGAATTGGGCTATGTCGTTAGATAAAGACAACAACATGAATGAAATATCACGTTTAGCAAATATAGTGAGATTAGATCCAGCGGGAGATGCTTGATGAGCAGTCCGACAAGCAGAGCTCTCATCTGGGTTAAAAAGCTGGAGCGCTTGCCCGAGTGTGTGTGTGTGGTCACGTGATGTGCGTTTTCAGCGTTTTGGTGTGGACGGAGAGCAGTTCAGAAACGCTGGGTAAAACGCGAGTGTGGACGCGGATCGTTTTCATTCTACAACGCCGTTTTAAAACTAAAACGCACTAGTGTAAACGGGGCCTAAGGGTGTAGTAGGTGTGACAGGTCTGACCTGCTGAGCTCAGAGTGCGATCTCTTTCCATTAGTGCGTTCCCAGCGTGAAGAAGCCGGGTCCAGAGGAGGCAGAGATGAAGAGGCTGAACTGCGCCTCAGCTGAGGGGTCGGGAGACTGTTCCTGCTGCTTAGACCCTGCAAATGCACATTTAGGAAATACTGCATAAGCTGGCGCCACTTAACAGAAACTCAATATTTAGCAATTATTACTCCAGTCTTCAGTGACACGATCTTACTGAATTCATTCTAATATGCAGATTTGGAGCTCAAGAAATTATTCTTATGAGCATCCGTGTTTAAAAAAAATGCTTAATTTATTATTAAAACTGAAACATTTCTTAGAAAATTTGCTGAGGAAAAAATATATATAATTTCAAACAAATATTTGAAATAGGAAACATGAGTAGCATAATAAATAAATGAATGTCATAAAAAAGTCACTTTTAACCAATTAACAGTTTTCTTTTCCTTTCTGAATAAAAAGTACAAAATATTTTGCTGGGGGTGGCACGAGTAACTTTTAAAATATAAGTAATAATATTTGAGTTACTTTTCTTGAAAATGTAATGCAAGTCACTTATTAGTTTAATTAATTCGTAATCACCAAGAATTATACAGTCAATGAGAGAATGTGTTTATTAGTTTAAACGCATCGAAGAAAAGGAAAAGGGGATTGTCTCAATGGAAAGGGATTTTACTTAAGACAAATAGTGCAAAAGTAGCAAACTCATTGTTTTAAACTTCCAATAATCTGTATATAAGGCAAGTATAGCTCTGGGGTCAGGTTTTTTTTTTTTTTTTTTTTTAAAGGTAAATGATGGTGTAGGTTATGCAGTGCATTGTTAAATGCAGAGCTCCTCTATTAAAAAAAAGAGAAAGAAAAAAAAACGTTCTGAAAGAAATCAAGCCTCAGCCAGGTAATAAAAAGTAACGCAAAAGTAATGCAACTATTTACTTTTTTGGGGAGAACAACGATAATGTAATGCATTACATTACTTTTTAAAGTAACTTTTTTCAACACTGTTTATTGGTACCAGTCAATATTGTACACTGTGGCCCATATTTGATATTTAATAGTGCTAATTCTAATGTAATCTTCTATTTTTAAATTCTTACTTATCTTTCTATTTTAAGTAAAATAACACTGTGCCAGTACGTAAACATGATAAAGACTATCCATTTTTAGTACATTATGATGTGATGCTTTGGTTCACTTGAACATTTCATATTATTTTACTTTTTAGAATTAAAATTGCACTTTACTTTGACAAAATAGTAAAGAATTCTATTATTGACACCTTTTTAAGTCAATAATTTGTTATTAAAACACCAGCTTACAAAAGTTGGCCATATTCAAAAAAAAAAAAAAAAAAATTTTTTTTTTTTCATTAAATTCTTAAAATATTTAAACGTTTTAGGATAATTCTATTAAAAAAAATTTAGATACCACCTGAAAAAACCTCAGTTTGATGATGATTTATAACTATGTCGTTCAGTAAAACTTTATACTCTAAACTACAGATTACTTTTTTCCTAAAAAGTTGTGTTATTCACAGCATTTATTTGCATAAAATAATAAGAAGGTACATGACGTGCTTATATTCAGTTTTTGACGATGCAAAACACAAATGCTTTAACTTCATAAGAGTTAACAAATCAATGTTTGTTGTTTTTATTTATAATTGAAATTTATTCATTCCTTTTTCTGTCATTCAACTTTCAAATTCTGAACTGCATCTTATCATGTATAACTCAGGCCAGTAGCCACCCTGATAAAAGGGGTGGTTCTTTTTACTTAAAATATGGACCTTTTTGCAGTTATTACTTACATTTTCTATTTAATTATGAGGTTTAAATTATTTTTAAGCACTATTTTTTGCTGAATTAACTTGTCGAATGGCCATAAACCACACTTTTTGATGTACCAAAAACATTTCCAAAAGATGTAGAAGAAAAAAAAATGAGAATAAAACTTATTTTTAAAATACAAATTTATACATCATATATCTGTTAAAGTTTTAAACAAAAAACTAGCCTATTGTCATTTAATAGGCAAACACAAACTGGCCAGCACATTCAACTTTCCTCAGTTACGCTGAAGCAACAGCAAAAAGAGGATTCCGCTTGGTCTTAAAGCCTTCTTTGATGGTTATTATTACAATATATTATGGCATAGCAGTCAAAATAGGACAAATGAGTATGGGATATATTCTGGACCTTTGTCAGTGAGGGGTGGGTCTTTCGAACCACCCAAACCCCTCCTGGCTGTGGGCCTGAAACTTATAATGTGATCAGCAGTTTGAGAGTGTGGTTCACGACACTGCTGCTGCTCACCTACCTTGACTGGCTTTCTCTCTCCTCTCTCTGAGGGGTCATCCATCTCAGCGCAGGGGTAGAAGCCAGGGAATGGGGTGAAGGGGTTGACTCGTGGCCGACATGAGCCAGAGAAGGCCCCCATGAGGCTGCTGACGCTGCGCAGCGAGGAGAGGGCATGCGGCGAGAGAGACGGGTCCATCAGCAGCTCCGACACCAGGTTCCTGGCCTCGTTGATCACAGACAGATCCACGCCGTTCCCACTCACAGCACCCTACAGTAGAATTCACAACATCCATAGAATAAAAAAAAATCATGCTTATAGAAAATTGTTTATGGGACATATACTGCCTCCTTGTGGTAATTTAGAGGTACAGCAGGATATCAAAAATTCATGCACTTGGAAGACGCTTTTCCCCAAAGCAATATACACATTTAATTCATGCTAGAGCTGCACAATTCAATTAAAAATAATACATTGTGATTCTTTTATATTTCTGAATAGACAATTAAATAATTTCATTAAAAAAATGCATTGCTGTTTAATTGAGCTTATTTTCACTGACCGGTTTGAAATATAATTTTTTCTTTAATCAGTCTGAACAAATTAAAGACTCAAATACTTGAAAGTTTCTGTATAACTTCACTATTTTAATCACTACAGCAGACATTAGTGCCAGTTTCTTGCCTAGGACAAAAAAAGAGAGAACATTTCTCCCATCATCCTTTCTCAAGTGGCCTCTCACTACTGGCTCCCAGTAAAACAGAGAATTGATTTTAAATTTTTAAGTTATGTATTTAAAGCTACACATGGACTTGCCCATAGCCTATATTTCCAAATTTTTAAGTTTGAATTTTCTCCAAAGATCCCTTAGGTCTTCTGCTTGGCTTCTGTTAATTGTTCTTAAATCCTGCTTAAAACAAAAGGAGACTATATTGATAGAAATGAGTTTTTAGGACTTTTTTGACTATACAGATTTTTACATATATTTTTAGTTTTCAAATTTATTGTAGAATATATTGTCTTGTCTCTTAATTTGTTTATTATTGTTGCCATGTTTGTGAAGCACTTTGGTAAAACATTCTACAACATTTCAAGGTGCTATATAAAGTTGACCAGTGTTTCTATCTGAGCTATAAACTTCAAACCCAGATTAACAGTTCTTGTGAGATCATTTGATTTATTTATTTATTTATTTTTTGTAAAAAAAAAAAAATAAGGATAATGTGTTTGTTTGAAAAGGTTGTGACTGTGGTATATTTCAGAATAGACAACTAAACATTTATTAAATGTAAAAATAATAATAATAATAATAATTGCTGTTTGATTGAGGTTATTTTGCATTGATCTATTTGAAAGTATAATTTAAAAAAAGACCTGTCTGAAATAATTATAAAAAAACTCATATACTTCAATTGTTTTTTTTGTGTAATTTCACTATTTTATTTGCAGACTTTAGTGTTTCTATCTAAACTATAAAATTTAATGCCAGATTAACAGTTTTTACTAGATCATCAGTAAAAACGCTTAAAAAGATTGTGATTACTGTATAGTTTAGAATAGACAACTAAACAATTATTTCATTGTAAAAAATGAATTGCTGTTTAATTAACATTATTTTGCATTGACCTATTAAAAAAATAATTAATGTTTTTAAAAATCAGTCTGAACTAAATTATTTAACGACTCAAATGCCTCAATTGTTTCTGTGTAATTTCACTATTTTAATCGCAGACATCAGTGTTTTTATAAACTATATATAAACTATAAACTTTAATGGCAGATTAACAGTATTTACGAGATCATTTTACTTTTTTGTAAAAAAAAAAAAATAAAGATAATGTTTGTGCTTGAAAAGACTAAAGATTTATTTCACATTTGATTACTGAAATTCTGTAACCTGCTGCTACTTTTAGAGAAAAGCAAAACGAAAACAAAAGAGAAACTTGTGTAACAAATCATGTGCCAGCATCAAAGGCCACAACAGGCAGGAGTTTCAAATCCAGGTCGCAGGATGGTAGTGATGTGTTTATTTCTCTTTTTTCTCTCTTTATTTATGTGTGACTTTGTATTATGCGCCTACATTTTTGCTGGGTGCTCCATACTTTCTAAATTGGCATTACCAGCTCCACCAAGTAAAAATTATATATATATATTTGGAGCCCTTTTTTACAGCATGATACTTTACTGCCTGAGCTACAGAAACTCCATCCTTCTGCTCCATACTTGCACCAATAATAGTGACTGTACCAAAGCATGACTCACTGGTGGAGCCGTCCATTTGATAAATCCAGCCAAGCAGCAGAGACAGTTTTTGATGATATCCACTCAGCGGAAAAAAGGAGCCGTTCATAATAACATTACAGGAAGAACTCTGGGTATCTATAAACTCAGCTAGTTTTAATCCATCTTCAGCCTCGTGCGTACATGCTGAGCTCATTTTATTGATTGTATTTAATTCAGACCTTCATCATTTTTTTGAAGAAGGGGCGGGCGGTTGCTTCTGATGAAAGTAATAAAGTAGAGTGGCGGCACTGCGTGCATGTGTGTGTGTGTGTGTGGTAAAAATGCACAGCGAGCACTTCCTCCAGGCTTTGACGTCATTTGGCAAGCTTTATGTGAGCCAGGATGAGGGTTATCCACTGGCAGGGCAGCCGCAGTAATGAGCGGCGGGCAGATGGAGGGGCTACAGGCCTCAGCATGAGACTGTACACGCGACAAACAGTCCTCAGATGGAGGATATGATGCTCATTCAGACAGGAAGATTATTCAGAATTGAATCATTTCTACAGTAGATGTAAATAAAATCAAACTACATTTTTAACTATTTTTGTATTATTTAGATGCTAATAATTGTGAAAAGCGAGTAAACTTGAACTGAATTAAATGATAATCTAAGTAAATAATAATGAAACATTTATAATAAACAACACAAATAACTGTAAACAAACATTTATATATATATATAAATACATATTTATAAATATATATATTTATATATATATAAATATATATGTATGTGTATATAAAATAATTTTATTTATTTAGATGTACGTAAATATTTTATATAACCAAATAAAGTAATAGGTGCAAATATATGAATATATATTTATTAATATACCTCATGTTTATAACCAGACTATCTGCCATGGTTATTAATTTTCAAAATGAATACCAAAGATATTTATTAAATTAAGCAATTTTTTTTTTCACTGATTACAAACTGATCTTAAAGACTCCTGAATACTGAAATAAAATGATAATATAAATGCATAAATGCAGACAGATATGTGAAGAGAGTTAGCATAAACTGTGCAGATGAAAAACTCTATGATATAAAGAGCTAAAGAGGAGTAGCACTGACCTGATATTGCGGCTTGTACCATTGTTTCAGGTCCCAGTCCCACAGGATCATCTAAAGGACACAAAACAAAGACTTTTTAAAGCACATTTCATTCACAGCTGCCACCCTGCACAAAACCTATGGAAAGTTAAGACAAAGAAGTTATTTTTACATTGCTAAAGTTCCTATAACCATTTTAAAATAAACACTTTTCTGAGTATTGGTTTGCATTACCATTTGATGTGGGTTGAATTTTTTTTGTCAACACCTGAGCAACTCTTTTTGAGAGCTGAAAGCTGCTAAACGAAAACCTTCTCTTGGCTCTTGCAGAAAAAAAAAAGTAAAACCACTCTAACCACAATGAGACGTCAACAATAGCGCTCACAGATCTTATCTAGCCAAACTACGTCATTTGACTGCATTTCCACGTTATCTGCCTCTGAGGCTCCATCCAACAGAAGCCAAGTCCCACAACGCTATCACCTAGATAGCACACAAATCTGTTTTCTGCTAACATGAAACAGCAAAGTATTTTTTGTTACGCTGGAAATCAAGTTGTCTACATATTAAACAAAAGTGAATGAAGGGCTTGCAAACTAAAACTTGTTCTTTGAAAACGTAACTAATCAACTGCAAAAGCAAAACGGGGCCAAAGTTCCAAGAAAACTTGCACAAGCTCAGAATCAACAACAAAAACAACAACAAAAAGTCTAAATAAGGTCAAACTTAACTTAAGGATAAATTAAACCTCTTTAATAATAATAAACCTATTTAAGCTCAATAAACTTATAATTAGCTGCTTATTAAATGTTATTAAGGTAGGTATTAGTAGGAATAGGGAAGATCATGCAGATTAAATTCTAACAAACAGTCAACATCTTAATAATAGGCAGTTAATAGCGACTAGTTAATAGTGATAACTAATTCTAAAATTAAAGTGGTACCCTAAACATTACATTCAAATGCACAAACTTTGAAGCAAATTTAGAAGTTTAGAAATGGAAGAAGAAGAAAAAAACACCACCATACACAATACTAGCTGTCTAAGTATTCAATGCATATTAAATTAGATGCACAAACTGCAATGCAATTTTAGAAACACACACAAATCACTTCATAATCTAATTAAACTTCATAATTTTATTGTGTAATTAACAGGCCCGTAGCGAGGGGGGGTTCGGGTGGTTCGAAAGGCCCACCCCCTCACTGACAAGGGCCAGAATTGGTCCCGTGCATGAGCTCATTTGTCATATTTTGACTGCTATGCCATCATAACTTAAAAAAATAAATAAATAAAAAAAATCAAAAAGCTTAAACCTTAAAAAGTCATCTTTCACTGCTGACCTACTGTATTGTTGTTAAATAGAGAATAGTTTACAAGTAACTTTTCTTGGACCTTATTCTTGAATAAAAAATGGCCAATAAAAAGGAGTCAAGCACCAAACGGTCATTCTGAAGTTATATGACCGATATAAGATATTGAAAGTTAAATTTAATACTAATTAGGCTATTGTTCTTATCTATGAATTTTCAAATGTACTGTTTTACAACACAAACTACAAAACTTGGGAAGCTCTACATTATTATTATTATTATTATGATGTTTTAATTTTTATTATTCAAATGGCCAAATTCACACAAAGGAAAGTTAAATGTGCTAGCCAGTTTGTTATTTGCTTATCAAATAACATTAGACTACAGATTTGAATGTAAAACTTTAACAGATTCCATGATATTTGATGTGATAAAAAATGTATTTGAAAAATAATAAGTTTTATATATTAATTAGTTTTTTATCCTAAATAATTTGGAAATGTTTTTAGTACATTAAAAAGTGTGGTTATGATGACCACCCAACAAGCTAATCCAGAAAACATAGTGCTTAAAATGTCACTAAAATGCAATATTTAAACCTTAAATGAAATGAAAAGAAAACAAGACGAATAACTGCAAAAAAAAAAAAAAAGGCAATTTTATTAGGAAAAAAAGAACCACCCACCAAGCTGGCTACGGCCCTCTACTCCATGTAACAAATTTAGGGCATTAAAAATAAAGGCTAAATAATTTTTCAAGATAAATATTCTGTTTATGCATAAAATAATGAATATTTCAGTGACATGATTTTGTGCTAAGAAAATATTTCAGCAAATTATTTATACAAACACAAATTAACACGATTTCGGCAGTGTTATCAAAACAACAGCATGCAATCTATTCGTAAAACTACCAGACCAACCAAATTCAAGAGAGTTCCAGCCAACAACGGTCGGTCGCCATGTTAAACTCGCAGAAAACCAAACGGCAGTGCAGTGTTTGACCACATGGGGGAGTAATGGTGATGCATGAGAGAAGGGCCGTTCACAACACAAAGCAGAAGCGGCCTGCACCTGCGATGACCATGTCATGTGTCACTTCCAGCAGCCCTGTTCTTTAAAACCAGCGACACTTTTAGGCACTCAGAGCTGTCCAAAAGATATGACCACACACTCTTACTCACAAAACACACACACACACTAACACCCAGCTCAAAGAGCAACAGATGGAGCTGATGGAAACACTCACCTGCAAGACTCCAAAGTTAATTCTGAACCAAACATGTGACCATTAAACCACTGCAACGCTCTGAATTCAGATGTAAATAGCGTCCTCTTGCTTTTCAATCAGACGCTTTGCAGATCAGACAGAGATGATGACCACGGTGAGCTGTCAGCATCTGCTTAACACCATCAGACGTTTAGTACGGCAAATAAGCAGTGCCATGGCAACCTGACAGAGGCCAGCAAACAATAGTACAAGCGTCATGGCAAGCAGAAAGATGGAGAGAATAACAAAAAGCTGTCTGACACTTGCGCTCTCTCACACATTGGAAAGGTTTTAAGGGTCCCCCCAAAAAAATAATAATAAAAGACGGCTTAACATCAGACTCGTTCCATTAAATCACCCATGTGGCACAGAGTTCGACCCCTCTGAATGGTCCACAATGTCACCAAGCAGCTCACATCAAATCTTGTTCTTTCCGGTCTGTTGAGCTGGTAAACTTTAGAGTCAGAGCAGAGATTAACAGAAAAATAAAAGGCTGAGTTGGTTTCACACAGTCTGCTTCCTTGAATATGTTACCTTAAGGTCTGTTTGCGTGACACGGGCAGGCCTAGGCGAAGGTGCAAATGGAGGCCAAAGCATTTTGTCAGCCAGTAACTGAAACCACATTTGCGGAGAGCTGTAAATGTGTAACCCTGTTTACAGCTGATATTCAAATGTATTTTTGTCAATCAGATCACGAGTGGACAATGCTAAACAGAGGTGTGAATGGGATCTGAAATGTTTTAAGCTCCCCACTTAGAGAGAGAGAGATGGAAACACACTCGACTGCATTGTTTTCAGTGTAGACATAAACATGTGATTAAATGTACAGAGTAAACTACTCTGCTTATCAACCTAAACATGCGATCGCTATCCACTTAAGTCGTGACGTATGGAATTCTGTTTCCGGGTCTAAGCTGCTACTTATTTGAATAGAGAAAATACTCGTTTATCACCGTTTATCGTAATATTGTTTATTTACAACAGTCTCTGGACTTCTTGCATCACAGACACCAAAATTTTACCAATTTATAAAAAAAATTATCACTTTCTGGCCATCGGATTAGGCATGGATATATACACTTTAAAAATAAATCCGTTACTTAACTTGTTTTACTGGAAGCTGGGGCGCCAGGAAAAAAACTTAAAATAACGGCTGTTAAATTACAAAAAACTCCCTAAATGTATATTTCCAGTAAATTTCTGTCATTTAATCATTGAGGTCTCTGAATAACACTGATGAGAACTGGGACAGAAAATTAACTGTACTGTGGTGTAAGTAAGGGGGGTGAAATTACAGTAGTTTTCCGGAGAAAATAACAAAACAGGAGGGTTGCGGGAGATTGCTCTAAAATACAGGAGACTCCCGCGAAAAATTGGAGTGTTGACAGGTATGCATTTAACATCTGATATTTTACGGTAAATTTCTGCAATTTAACAGCCGTTATTTTGGGGGGTGGGGGTTGAGAGTTGGGTAAAATAACATATTTTTTTACAGTGTACATGGTTTCCGCTACATTCATTCTTCCATGGTGGAGGGCCACCCCAAAATTCATCCCACCACGGCTACATTACAGCTTTTCATTCAAAACACTGTCGTGTTTTTTTTTTTTTAAATAGTGGGTGATAATCGCACCAACACTTATTAAAGGTAAGTGAATTATAACAGCGCAAACTTTTCTGTAACCGTAGTAGTCCTGTGCGCTTTTTGTTTAACCCTTTAAGGTTACGTGCTAACAGACTGACAGGTGCGTGATGTGTGAGCCGGCAAACATGACATATAGCCATTTCACTTTACTTCAGGACACATTAATACCACTTTGTAGGTCTATTAGAGACATTCAAATATATTCCTAGCAAATATAATAAATGTTGGAGTCATACTCACTACATAAACGCGCTAAATCGCACTTCAGCAGCGTTTATTTGAGAGCGCACAAGAAGATCAGTGCTTGCCTTGAGCAGCATATATTTGAGGGCGTACAAGATGTTTTGTGCACTAGCAGAGGAAATCGGCACGCAAGCAGAGAGATTCATATGCTCGTAGGTTATTATACAAATGCTATCTCGAATTGTAATACTGCGCTCACAACATGTCATTGAAATAACACCATAGGTAGTTGGTAGATCTGAGTATAAAAGGCCTGCAGCCACAGCTGGAAAAAAATCCTAGAGGAAACACTGGTGTATATTGCGATCATGATTTTGAAAAGTACTACATTGCTTTGTAAACGTTTATTACCATTTGTTGATTTCCCCCATACAGTTTGATAGAGCACTTGGAGCCGGAAGCCATTTTGTGTGATGTCACACCTAATAAGTGGATCAGATATGTTGTGTGGAAGTGCATAAAAACAAGATATTTATACTTTAACGCACAGAACAAAAGCACACACATTCATCAGACTTTGCTTCATTTCATTATTTATTCATCATTTTTATTTCTTTGCTTTCCTGCTCTCTTGTAAGCAGTGAATCATAGTTTTGTTCCG